CCCGTTAAGGAACGCGGTCTTGACATCCATTTGCCATATCTCATAGTCGTAATATGCGGCTATGGCAAGTAGGATCCTGATGGACTTCAACATCACTACGGGCGAAAAGGTCTCATCATAGTCAATACCATGAATTTGACGGAATCCTTTCGCCACAAGTCGTGAGAGCATCCAACTCGAGAAGCATCGCCTCTTTCCATTGATCAGATTTAATAGCTTGGTGAAAAGAACGTGGCTCAGTTTCGGCGGTGATAGAAAGAGCAAAGGTGCGATACGCAGGGTTCAATTTGGAATAAGACAAACAAGAAGAAAGTGGGTATGGTGTCGAAGATATGTCTGGTGGTGGTTTATTATGGGTCAAAAAATAGCAATGGTAGTGGGCTAAGTAAGCTGGAGGTTTGGATGTGCGCTGCGACTTTCTGACATTCTCCGATGACACAACAACAGGAAGACAAGAAGAAGCAGAAGGTTCAACTGGGGGAACTATGTCCAGAGAACTATCTGAAACAGAACATGACTCAGAAGGAAGTGTCGTCGTTTTGTTCGAATCAGAGGACAAACGAGAACCAGAGGAAACATGAGTAGAATCGTAAAGAGAATAAGAAAGATGTCGACTGACAGGAAAAAAAAAAAGAGTCTGAGAAGAAATAGAATCTGAATGAAAAGGAAAAATACTTTCATGAAAAATGACATCACGAGACATAGAGACAGAATTCGTTTCCAAATCGAGTACCTTATAACCTTTGATACCCGAGGGATAACCAAGAAAGACATGAGGTGATGTCTCGTGATGTCATTTTTCATGAAAGTATTTTTCCTTTTCATTCAGATTCTATTTCTTCTCAGACTCTTTTTTTTTTTCCTGTCAGTCGACATCTTTCTTATTCTCTTTACGATTCTACTCATGTTTCCTCTGGTTCTCGTTTGTCCTCTGATTCGAACAAAACGACGACACTTCCTTCTGAGTCATGTTCTGTTTCAGATAGTTCTCTGGACATAGTTCCCCCAGTTGAACCTTCTGCTTCTTCTTGTCTTCCTGTTGTTGTGTCATCGGAGAATGTCAGAAAGTCGCAGCGCACATCCAAACCTCCAGCTTACTTAGCCCACTACCATTGCTATTTTTTGACCCATAATAAACCACCACCAGACATATCTTCGACACCATACCCACTTTCTTCTTGTTTGTCTTATTCCAAATTGAACCCTGCGTATCGCACCTTTGCTCTTTCTATCACCGCCGAAACTGAGCCACGTTCTTTTCACCAAGCTATTAAATCTGATCAATGGAAAGAGGCGATGCTTCTCGAGTTGGATGCTCTCACACGTACTCAGACTTGGCAGCTTTGTCCTCTTCCTCCCGGCAAACGACCTGTTGATTGTAGGTGGGTCTACAAGATTAAGCATAATTCCGATGGCTCGATCGAAAGGTATAAAGCTCGTTTGGTCGCTAAGGGTTACACACAATTGGAGGGTATCGATTATTTAGAAACTTTCAGTCCTGTTGCTAAACTAACGACTGTTAGAGTTATTCTGGCTTCGGCTTCATCTCAGAATTGGTTTCTTCATCAGATGGATGTCTCTAACGCTTTTCTAAATGGCGATCTTAGCGAGGAGATTTTCATGACTCTTCCTCCAGGATATTCTACACTTAAGGGGGAGCAGGTTCCACCAGATTTCGTCTGTAAACTTCAGAGATCTCTTTACGGATTGAAACAGGCTTCGCGGCAATGGAATCTGAAGCTGTCTCGAG